TTACTGTCCTCCCATAGAGCTAACTGTTACTGTCCTCCCAGAGAGCTAACTGTTACTGTCCTCCCATAGAGCTAACTGTTACTGTCCTCCCAGAGAGCTAAATGTTACTGTCCTCCCATAGAGCTAACTGTTACTGTCCTCCCATAGAGCTAACTGTTACTGTCCTCCCAGAGAGCTAAATGTTACTGTCCTCCCATACAGCTAAATGTTACTGTCCTCCCATACAGCTAAATGTTACTGTCCTCCCATAGAGCTAACTGTTACTCTCCTCCCAGAGAGCTAAATGTTACTGTCCTCCCATACAGCTAAATGTTACTGTCCTCCCATACAGCTAAATGTTACTGTCCTCCCATACAGCTAACTGTTACTGTCCTCCCATAGAGCTAACTGTTACTGTCCTCCCATAGAGCTAACTGATACTGTCCTCCCAGAGAGCTAACTGTTACTGTCCTCCCAGAGAGCTAACTGTTACTGTCCTCCCAGAGAGCTAACTGTTACTGTCCTCCCAGAGAGCTAACTGTTACTGTCCTCCCATAGAGCTAACTGTTACTGTCCTCCCATAGAGCTAACTGTTACTGTCCTCCCATAGAGCTAACTGTTACTGTCCTCCCATACAGCTAACTGTTACTGTCACTCCCATACAGCAAAATGTTACTGTCCTCCCATACAGCTAAACTGTTGCTGTCCTCCCATAGAGCAAACTGTTACTGTCCTCCCATAGAGCTAACTGTTACTGTCCTCCCATAGAGCTAACTGTTACTGTCCTCCCATACAGCTAACTGTTACTGTCCTCCCAGAGAGCTAACTGTTACTGTCCTCCCATACAGCTAACTGTTGCTGTCCTCCCATACAGCTAACTGTTGCTGTCCTCCCATACAGCTAACTGTTACTGTCCTCCCATAGAGCTAACTGTTACTGTCCTCCCATAGAGCTAAATGTTACTGTCCTCCCAGAGAGCTAACTGTTACTGTCCTCCCAGAGAGCTAACTGTTACAGTTCTCCCATAGAGCTAAATGTTACTGTCCTCCCATAGAGCTAACTGTTACTGTCCTCCCATAGAGCTAAATGTTACTGTCCTCCCATAGAGCTAAATGTTACTGTCCTCCCAGAGAGCTAAACGTTACTGTCCTCCCATAGAGCTAAATGTTACTGTCCTCCCAGAGAGCTAAATGTTACTGTCATCCCATAGAGCTAAATGTTACTGTCCTCCCAGAGAGCTAAATGTTACTGTCCTCCCAGAGAGCTAACTGTTACTGTCCTCCCAGAGAGCTAACTGTTACTGTCCTCCCAGAGAGCTAACTGTTACTGTCCTCCCAGAGAGCTAACTGTTACTGTCCTCCCAGAGAGCTAACTGTTACTGTCCTCCCAGAGAGCTAACTGTTACTGTCCTCCCATAGAGCTAAATGTTACTGTCCTCCCATAGAGCTAACTGTTACTGTCCTCCCATAGAGCTAACTGTTACTGTCCTCCCAGAGAGCTAACTGTTACTGTCCTCCCATAGAGCTCTCTCCTCTCCCTGCTGCTCTTTCCTAGGTCATGGTCCTTAGTAGTAAACAAACCATGATTGTGTCCCAAACGGCACCCTATTCCCTTTATAGTGCACTAGATCCCTTTATAGAGCCCTGTGGGTCCTGGTCAAAGGTAGCATACTATAAAAGGGAATAGAGTGCCGTTTGGTACGCAACCCATTACTAAAAGCACCTCTGGCTGGCATCTCTCACTGTGCTGTGGCCTGACCTCTGGAAGAGAAAGGTACACAACCACACCCCTTGGTCTGGCTACAACCACGCCCCTTGGTCTGGCTACAACCACGCCCCTTGGTCTGGCTACAACCACGCCCCTTGGTCTGGCTACAACCACGCCCCTTGGTCTGGCTACAACCACGCCCCTTGGTCTGGCTACAACCACGCCCCTTGGTCTGGCTACAACCACGCCTCTTGGTCTGACTACAACCACGCCTATTGGTCTGGCTCACCGGCCAAACACAATCCACCTAGTCTCACATGACAACTATTCATATATTTTAGCTCAAGAGTTGGTCATGCGAGAATACATTCCACTGAACAACAGGTCCTCCTGTACCGTCTGAATAAAATTCACATCTTTACATGCTTGTCGTGAGGAACCACACATTTCCAAAGGAAACGTGTGTGGAAAGTGAGTTACGTTTTTTAATGTAAACAATGTGTTACTATCCCCAGTCGTTCCCGTGGAGGCCTGTAGATGACCCTGGATAGTGCAGACATAACAACACATCATAACCCAGTGTGGGAATTGTAAAATACTGCTGAGTCACTCAATTAGGAAAACAACACATGCCAGTCTTTCTCGGTTGGCCCTCACTGCGCCCTGGCCCAAATAACAGGTCCACCAGGGTCATCGCCAAACAACTTTTTCACACAAAAAAGAGAGCTTGAATAAAGCTTGAATCCTTAGTTGAAACAATAAAGCGAGACCCCGCTTCTGTTTCGGTAAAAAAGCTGAGGGATGGGGCTGGAGAAATGTAACCACTCTCAATTTAATAGACAGAGCTATGGATACAAGGACTGACCATCCATGATATCAACGTTCTAGTTTTAATCATGTTTTGAGGCTGTACAGTGTTTGTTTACATTTACTTTGTTTACAAACATTGGAGTAAAACAAGCTTCTATTTAGGGTTCTGATGGGGTGTGACAGCTGAACTAAGCTCATGAGGCATTTATAAGTTATATTCTTCAACAATCAATGGGTACATATCATTAATTGATAAGTACATAAAAATTGATGTAGCAACTAAGGATTCTAGTTTTAAGAATAATACTTGTATACAACATTATAAAATATTTGGTTTCAATGTGTCCGAAATTGATAAATACTTTAGGCATATATAAATAAATCAATGACAAGTTCAAATAGATGTTACTTCTGTTAACAAGTCTACAGCGCCTTTATTATGAAAGCCCAGTTAGTTCACAGTAGCAAAAAGTCAGGTTTGTGATTGTGAGCTTTTTGAAAATGCATTTTTAAAAAGGGCTGTTTTTGTCTCTTTTATGTCAGCGCATGTGTTCATGCCATTACCCACTGGGCACACACGGGTTGAATCAACATTGTTTCCACATCATTTCACTGAAATTATGTTGAACCCAATGTGGAACAGACATTGAATATATACGTCTGTGCCCAGTGGGTATGCATTTTCACAACTGTAAAAAAAAATATTTCAAAGCTGACTCCTCATTTACAGTTTCTATTCTTGTCACTCATAAAAAGGAACCCATAACAGTTAATACATCCAAGTTCAGCCAATTTAAAATGACATTAAACACACACACACACACACACACACAATAAGAAATGTCTGAAAACAGTTAAATGGGAATATGACCACCCACTATAAACTAATGAAATGAAACAAAGCTATTCTGCATAATAAAATAATACTTTTGAACTTAATCATATGAACTTCATTAAAAGTTGGGCTGCAGCTAAGGAAAAGATTCTCCTCCAAAACAAGTTGTACTGACTAACTGAATCCACACAGGCAGCTGGTTGGTAAAGAAATGTTATTTGGTCTCATTTAAAAATATGAAGAGAAGGATTGTAGTCAACTGCATTCTGAAGTGATCTTTAGGATACAGTTAAATCAACCTAAACATTTGAAATGTAGCATATTTTGAGTTTTACTGTAGGCTACACAGAAGAATATCTATCATACCAACCCCACTGTGTGTAGCCATCTGCCCATGGCTACAGGCCAGGGATGGGCAAATTCTGTCCTTTGGAGGGGGTGTCACTTTATCCCCATCCCTAACAAACACAGCTGATTAAAACTAACTGCGTTCTAAAAGGAATATCATGATTGGTTGATTATTGGAGTCAGGCTTGTTAGCTTCGGCTGGGGCAAAAGTGTGACACCAATCAGGCCTCCGAGGACTGGAGTTGCCCATCCCTGCTATAGGCTATGATCAAGCGTTTTCCCTAAAACTCTGAATTTTAAAAAAAAATCAATAGAAATAACAATAGAAGTATTGTTGAATAAAGTGATTGAAATCTTATAATTTGATTCTGATTTATTCTAAAATCAACAAATGCAATAATATATTTGCGGGAAAAAGCATACAGTATAAATCACACAAAAAACTACTAGACCAATCAGAGGCATGCAATCAACAGTCCCGTGCATCTTCCACTCACCCTCTCTGCAAAGCTAACTCTTCTATCCGGACTGTCACGGTCCTCTCGTGCAGTGTCTTTGCTCCTCGGTGCTTTCTGTATGCATGCTTTTCACCAGCGCTCAGCTACCCTCAGCTCCTGTCGCCGAAAACAGTGGCCCAGTGTAGATCGGGCAATGCATAGCATATCTCTGTATCTCAATCTGTATCACAGCCGATGATGTTTCTGTGGAGCCTAGTGCTGCACTGCCGATAGGAGGGGAGTTTTTGATCAGTCACTGACTGACTTGGGAGGGAATATTATGCTGCGTTCTCTCCTCCTCTCCCTCTCTCCTATCTGACAGTTGAGAAACTCCTTCGTGCGCAAGATTGCAATTAGATAGACGCTGAAGTAAAAGTGCATTAATTGGCCCAGCCACTGTGCAGTTTTATTTATTGCAATTGCTCGATTATAATTTACTATAACACAATATAGTGACAAGAGTCAATGGACTTGTTCTTCTTCTACAATCTACACATATTCGCCAATTCAGAAAAAAAAGAATGGGAAACTCAAATGGGAAAATATTTTCTCGAAGGACAATACATTTGTTCAATTCTATTCGCCAGGTTTTATGATTTAAATAATTTATATTTTGAGAACTTTTATTTTGAAGTGACTGTGACGCGCTCCCCCCATACCCGGAAGTTCACTTCACAACATCAACTGGTGGGGGGGAAGAAGAGCGGACACGGAGAAAACAAGTAGCTTAAACACCAAAGTGACTTTTCCAAACAACCTTTGAAGTAATTTCAGGCAACATTTTAAAACTCACGTGCAAATGTTCTGAGAGCAGATAGCGCCACATGGAGGCTGTTGTAAAGAACTTGGAGCGGACGGCGGAGCTACTCGCTGTGTCGCAGACAGAGATAGTGCAGCGGTGGGACAAACAAACCCTGGACAGAGCCTTCCAATGGACTCAGTACTGCGAACACCTCTACACAAGGTTCCACGCAAATCCAACCGTCAGGGACATCTTGGAAAAACGACTACAGGTGACAAACGAAAGCTTACGAACAACTTTTCAGGGGTATACGGACATCACGTTTTCTGACCTGTCGCAGTGTCAACACTTGCTGCTCGTTGGGTTATTAAACAACGCCGCGGTTCCGAGCTCAGTCATCAAACAACTTTTCGACACTTCTTGTTCTAAAACGGTTGGAGATAAATCTAAGGACGCCACCGGTCATTGCACTGAGCTCATAGAAGTCAAATCAGCATGTAAAGTCTTAAGCGCCATTTATTTGAAACGCAGTACGTCCTTTCCTGGTCCTGATGCTGACGTGGTAGGCACGACACTGATGGAGATGTTGGATATCCTGCTCTCTCCAGCTACTGGCGGGTCCAATGTGGGTCTAGCAGAGAAGTTATTGGACTCCATCTTACAAACCTGTGGTGAATATGAAAACTTCTCAGGGGTTGTTGCTGCTGCTCTCCTGTCAAGGAAAAACAACTCAGCAGCATCAGCAACAACAGCAGCAGCATCAACAACAACAGCATCAGCAACAACAGCAGCAGCATCAACAACAACAGCATCAGCGAAAACAGCAGCAGCATCAACAACAACAGCATCAGCAACAACAGCAGCAGCATCAACAACAACAACAACAGCATCAGCAACAACAGCAGCAGCATCAACAACAACAGCAGCAACAACAGCAGCAGCATCATCAGCATCAGCAACAACAGCAGCATCAACAATGGCTTCAGGAGGAGTTTCATTAGACTTTATCCTGGATTGGCTGCAGCAACACCACAGTTTACTCCAGCATATGTGTTCCACGTTGCCTATTGGACTTTTGATGGACCTCTACCGGCAGTCTGTGAGGTTTAGAGTGACCTACTGTGACATGTTGAAGCAATGGGGGTCACAGTTGGAGTATGACATGGGTGAAGGAGAGTGGGTTCAAGTGTTTACCACCAACGGGGTGTCGTTCAAGACACTGTCTGACCATTATAGGTCGCTACTAGGGGCTTGTCCGTCGATGAAGGAGGACATTGAGAGAGAGCTGACAGAACTGAAGGTTGCCGATGGGGACTTTGATGTTAGAGGTCTGAGTGTTTGGGGTGACCTCCTCTCTGAGCTGAACAAGGTCTGAGTGTTTGGGGTGACCTCCTCTCTGAGCTGAACAAGGTCTGAGTGTTTGGGGTGACCTCCTCTCTGAGCTGAACAAGGTCTGAGTGTTTGGGGTGACCTCCCTCTGAGCTGAACAAGGTCTGAGTGTTTGGGGTGACCTCCTCTCTGAGCTGAACAAGGTCTGAGTGTTTGGGGTGACCTCATCTCTGAGCTGAACAAGGTCTGAGTGTTTGGGGTGACCTCCTCTCTGAGCTGAACAAGGTCTGAGTGTTTGGGGTGACCTCCTCTCTGAGCTGAACAAGGTCTGAGTGTTTGGGGTGACCTCCTCTCTGAGCTGAACAAGGTCTGAGTGTTTGGGGTGACCTCCTCTCTGAGCTGAACAAGGTCTGAGTGTTTGGGGTGGACTCCTCTCTTATATTATGTGTAAAAGTCTGAGGTTTGGGGTGACCTTCTAGAGCTGAACAAGTCTGAGTGTTGGGACGTGACCTCCCTTGAGCTGACAAGGTCGAGGTTTGGGGTGACCCGCATAGCTGAACAAGTCTGGAGTGTTTGGTGACCTCTTTGAGCTAACAGTTGAGTGTTTGAGTGACTCTCTCGAGGAACAAGGTCTGAGTGTTTGGGGTGACCTCCTAACTCTGAGCGAACAGGTCAAGTTTGGGGGACCTCGCTCTCTGAGTGAACAGGTCTGTGTTTGGGGGACTCCTATATATGAAACAAGGTCTGAGTGTTTGGGGTGATCTTCCAGTGAAAGCAGTCTGAGTGTTTGGGTGACCTCTCGAGTGAACAAGGGTCTGACTTTGGGGTGACTCCTTTGAGCTAACAAGGTCTGAATGTTTGTGGCCTATCTCTGAGCTGAAAAGTGAAGTGTTGGGTGACCTCCTTCTGAGCTGAACAAGTCTGATGTTTGGTGGTATTTAATATATTGTTTTTAAACCTGAAACGTAAATGATCTAAAAACGCGTAAAACATAATCCGTTGTACTCAGTTGAGACACGACATATGAACCAAATCGGAGTTTACTTGTTTTTAGATAATTTACGTTTAAGGTTTAAAAAAAAAAGTCAAATTTATATTAATTTAAAAAAGAATAAATGATCAAACAGTTTGACAACCCTGTTTTGTAAGCTTTTAAATTATATAAAAATCAACCATTTATCTTTTCCAGTGATGAAGACATTGATGTCTGATGGCGTGGTGAGGTATGCAAAATGGGTCAACTTTGAGCACCTTTATCGCCTGAATGTTTTGGCATTCAGATCTAAAAAGTAACTTTCTGACCACTTCATGGGCAAACATGGAAAGTTTAAATCAAAATGGAAGCTGTCAAAAAGTGAATTCAAAATGGATTTACCCCTCTCTGAGCAGAACAGACTTTTAACGGAGCCATGTGCAGCCTCATCTATGTCCCGTCATCGGCATCACATTGTCAGTGTTCGTTGGACAAATGCGGACATTTGGCCTTGTTAGATACAATTGATTTAAATATATTTGTTAGAGGATAGATGTTTTTTGTGCTATTACATTCACATATACGTTTGTATCAATAACAGAATAAAGATGACTATTTCTTTTAAATGAATGTTTGTGTTCTTATTTAAAGTGTGTAATGATACTGTTATATTTAATACTGTTACCTCCCTTAGTTTTCTTTTGGACACACTGCACACCGACCTTGCTACTGCAACATTTAGTATTTGAATTTATTAGGGATCCCCATTAGCTGTTGCCAAGGCAGCAGCTACTCTTCCTGGGGGTCCAAACACATTAAGGCACTTACATTACACATAAAACAAAAGATAAAACAGTACATCATATAACATTATTACACCACTACATATCTACAATACAAAATGTATAATACCACCATACAACAATATTACAATGTATGTGTGTGTAGAGTGCGTGTGCTAGCGTTTGTGTGCGTATACGTGTGTCTGTATGTGTGTCTCTTCACAGTCCCCGCTATGCCATAAGGTGTGTTTTTATCTTTTTTTTTTTTTTAAATCTGATTCTACTGCTTGGCAGTGTGTCCAACATCAGAATGAGCTAGTTAATGAAATCTCAACGAGCAGGAAGTGACAGATGGTTACGTCACACGTTACCCAGGCAACCACTGCCTGAACTCTGAAGGCCAGAGAGAGGATGTTGTGTGCCTTCCAAATGAGTCCCCGGGGACACAAGGACCCGTGCCTCTGACTCACTATCAGATCAGTTTGGAGCGTGGGAGGAGGAAGAAGAGAGCTAAGATTCCTCATCCTGTGTTTGATGATTCTAGAGGTTCTGATGCGTGAGAATATACTGAACGAAAATATAAAACGCAACGTGTAAAGTGTTGGTCCCACGTTTCATCAGCTGAAATAAAAGATCCCAGAAATGTTCCATACACACAAAAAGCTTATTTCTCTCTTAATGGCAATTTGAATGCACAGAGATATAGTGAGGAGCTCCTGAGGCCCATTGTCGTGCCGTTCATCCGCCGCCATCACCTCATGTTCCAGCATGATAATGCTCAGCCCCATGTCGCAAGAATCTGTGCACAATTCCTGGAAACTGAAAATGTGCCAGTTCTTGGATGGCCTGCATACTCACCAGACATGTCACCACCCATTGAGCATGTTTGGGATGCTCTGGATCGACGTGTACGACAGCGTGTTCCAGTTCCCGCCAATATCCCGCAACTTCGCACAGCCATTGAAGAGGAGTGGCACAACATTCCACAGGCCACAGTCAACAGCCTGATCAACACTATGAAAAGGAGATGTGTCGCGATGCATGAAGCAAATTGTGGTCACACCAGATACTGACTGGTTTTCTGATCCACGCCCCGTATCTGTGACCAACAGATGCATATCTGTATTCCCAGTCACGTGAAATCCATAGATTGGGGCCTAATTTATTTATTTCAATTGACTGATTTCCTTATATGAACTGTAACTCAGTCAAATCTTTTAAATTGTTGTATGTTGCGTTTGATATTTTTGTTCTGTACATTTATCTTATAGTCTGGGCTCCCGACTAGTAAATTCCTTTTGAAATCTAATTTTGTGGGAATCTAAATTTATTTATTCATGTTTCTGTTTCTGTTTTTACATTTGGTCTTGTAGCTGATTCCAGCTGACTGAATCAGTGGAAACACAAATCAATGTTAAACTAACTGATAAAGGAAATTGTCAGTGAATTTAGGATAATGTATTTCCATAACTGTCTGTGATAGTATGGGTAGCAAGACAGGCTGTCGACTCGAGTGACACTGAATAACAATTAGACTGTCTCACAGGCTGGCCCTCATAGGCCCTCATAGCCACTAGTGGAGGCTCCTCAGAGGAGGGCAGGGGAGGTCCATCCCCCTCAGTGATTTTTTTAATTTTAATGTTTTATTGTGAAACATACATGCATACAGCTCTGGAAATAAATAAGAGACCACTGCAAAATTATCAGTTTCTCTGGTTTTACTATTTATAGGTACAGTGGGGAGAACAAGTATTTGATACACTGCCAATTTTGCAGGTTTTCCTACTTACAAAGCATGTAGAGGTCTGTCATGTTTATCATAGGTACACTTCAACTGTGAGAGACGGAATCTAAAACAAAAATCATAGATAATCACATTGTATGATTTTTAAGTAATTAATTTGCATTTTATTGCATGACATAAGTATTTGATACATCAGAAAAGCAGAACTTAATATTTGGTACAGAAACCTTTGTTTGCAATTACAGAGATCATACGTTTCCTGTAGGTTTTGACCAGGTTTGCACACACTGCAGCAGAGATTTTGGGACACTCCTCCATACAGACTTTCTCCAGATCATTCAGGTTTCGGGGCTGTCGCTGGGCAATACAGACTTTCAGCTCCCTCCAAAGATTTTATATTGGGTTCAGGTCTGGAGACTGGCTAAGCCACTCCAGGACCTTGAGATGCCTCTTACGGAGCCACTCCTTAGTTGCCCTGGCTGTGTGTTTCGGGTCGTTGTCATGCTGGAAGACCCAGCCACGACCCATCTTCAATGCTCTTACTGAGGGAAGGAGGTTGTTGGCCAAGATCTCACGATACATGGCCCCATCCATCCTCCCCTCAATATGGTGCAGTCGTCCTGTCCCCTTTGCAGAAAAGCATCCCCAAAGAATGATGTTTCCACCTCCATGCTTCACGGTTGGGATGGTGTTCTTGGGGTTGTACTCATCCTTCTTCTTCCTCCAAACACGGCGAGTGGAGTTCAGACCAAAAAGCTCTATTTTTGTCTCATCAGACCACATGACCTTCTCCCATTCCTCCTTTGGATCATCCAGATGGTCATTGACAAACTTCAGACGGGCCTGGACATGCGCTGGCTTGAGCAGGGAGACCTGCAGGATTTTAATCCATGACAGCGTAGTGTGTTACTAATGGTTTTCTTTGAGACTGTGGTCCCAGCTCTCTTCAGGTCATTGACCAGGTCCTGCCGTGTAGTTCTGGGCTGATCCCTCACCTTCCTCATGATCATTGATGCCCCACAAGGTGAGATCTTGCATGGAGCCCCAGACCGAAGGTGATTGACCGTCATCTTGAACTTCTTCCATTTTCTAATAATTGCGCCAACAGTTGTTGCCTTCTCACCAAGCTGCTTGCCTATTGTCCTGTAGCCCATCCCAGCCTTGTGCAGGTCTACAATTTTATCCCTGATGTCCTTACACAGCTCTCTGGTCTTGGCCATTGTGGAGAGGTTGGAGTCTGTTTGATTGAGTGTGTGGACAGGTGTCTTTTATACAGGTAACGAGTTCAAACAGGTGCAGTTAATACAGGTAATGAGTGGAGAACAGGAGGGATTCTTAAAGAAAAACTAACAGGTCTGTGAGAGCCGGAATTCTTACTGGTTGGTAGGTGATCAAATACTTATGTCATGCAATAGAATGCTAATTAATTACTTAAAAATCAAACAATGTGATTTTCTGGATTTTTGTTTTAGATTCCGTCTCTCACAGTTGAAGTGTACCTATGATAAAAATGACAGACCTCTACATGCTTTGTAAGTAGGAAAACC